TAGGATTAGGTTTAGGGGTTTGTTTTAGGGTTAGGTTTAGGGTTAGGTTTAGGGTTAAGTTTAGGGGTTTGTTTTAGGGTTAGGTTTAGGGTTAGGTTTAGGGTTAAGTTTAGGGGTTTGTTTTAGGGTTAGGGTTAGGTTTAGGGTTAGGTTTAGGGTTAGGTTTAGGGTGCTTGGGAATGCACGGATTTGCCCTCCGCGATTATGTCATCATGGTAGGGTCGCGTTTTTCCTTAGCGCTTCGAACAGCGCGAATTAGTCTTCGCGCTTATGTCTCCGCGGATAAGGGCTTCATGGTTTTGTCGTGCCACGGCCCATTTACACCAGAAAAAGTGTAGAGGAGGCTCAATTCTTTACAAAAGCTGCAGGATTTGATGGTGTATTCCCAGAAGTACTAACAAACAGTCGATCAGCAACTAAAGGTAGGCTTGCTTATTTTTAGTTCCATACTATACTCAGGGTGGCTTCCTCCTATATTGAAGAAGACCAAAATTATTGCAATTTTGAAACCAGGGAAGGGTCTAACCTTCTCTAAAGGTACAGCCAATTGCTCTTCTCTGTGTTACTGTTCTGACCCGGCTCCCAAGCATGACAAATCCTCTGTAGTTAAATCAATGATTCCTTTATTAGGAGCACCAGCAAAAAGTCTCTCTCTCACACAGCAAGCTAATAAGTCTGTCCAGCAGGAAGATGAATAGTTGTGTAAATACCTATTCATCTCCGCCCCCTTGCCCAGTCTTCTAATGTGAGGTGGTATGACACCTGTATTCCCAGAGCTAGGGTGGGGCTTCGCTAGCAGCGGTGGCTCTTCTGTCCCAAGGATTGCCTCATAGATTTCCACTGCTCTTCTCTTCTCTGCCTTTTGCACATCCGCGTGTGAAGCACTCGACCCAGCTGTTCCTCCTTTTCCTCATCAGACACCTCAAGACCTGGAGGCTGTTGACTCTCTATCTGAAGGCTGATGAACAGCCCAGGCTCCCCCTCTGTCTCTATCTCTGACAGCTCCATTCCCTCTTCCCACTCGGAGCTCTCAGGTTGCCTTGATGCTGGCTTGAGTCCCATGCTGCCTCCTCATCTGATTTGGCTGCTGGAGGGGCTGGCGGCCAACAGGCTACAACGGTTACCTACAGACTTTTAGAAAGACTTGTATTAAACAGAACAGCTGTCGCCGTGGAATATGTAATCCAAGTAGAACAAGCTGGATTTCACCCAAACATGATTGTAGCAATTAAGTCATTGTATTAATTTCCTACCTGGAGAATGGATTCCAAAAGAAAATGAAAAATCTTGACGTCTCAGTGGCCTACAATACTGACTGGCGAGAAGGACGTCTCCTCAAATTATTCAAGGTTTTACCTTGTTGCAACACCGTAGCCTTGATTGACAACTTGTTGAATAACAGGTTCTTTCAAGTTTTTCACAGAATTAAAAAGATACAGATATCATAAGTTGAATAACAACCAACCACAAGGATCAGTGCTATCCCCTGCTCTTTTTAACTTGTACATCCATGAACTGCCTGAAGCCTTTTGTTGGAAATTTATTTTTGCCGATGATATCAGTCCAAAGAACCAACTTCAGTGATGGAAAGGACATCCTTTCTCAAGATCTCCAGAAGCTGGATGACTACTTCAAAAAATGCTGTCTCCAATGACAAAAATAAAAGTAGCCACAGTCCATGTCAGCAATAGATATGCAAATTACAAGCCTTCAGTGAAATTCCAGAGCTGTATTTTACATTGTAATAATTATCTGAAGTTCCTGGGTGAACACTGAAGAGATTACTAACCTTCTGGCAACACCCAGAAAAAACAGCTAGGAAATTGAAAAGCTCTAACAATTTACTGTACAGACTGGCTGGAACCTCCTGGGGTGCTGATACTACGAACAACAGCTTTGGCTTTGGTTTATTCCACAGCTGAATATTGTGCCAGCATGTGGCTTAACAGCACCCACATCCAAATAGTTGCTGTCCAACTGCACCAGACAATAGATAAGCTCTGACACATTGCATCCTACCCACATTAGAACACAATTCGGCTGTAGTCAAGGATGCTGAACAACAAGGCCCTCCTTATTTACCAGGACAATGCACAGCCCTTCACAAGATTGAAATCCTGATGTTAAGCTATGCACTTAACATCTGCCCAGTTTAACCCTGAGAATGCCTTAGGTACTGTCTGACCACTAGTGATCCCTCTACCAAACCACCTGATTTTTTACCTGCCTTGCTTTATCTGGTCAAAACTGAATGAAATTTGGTGTGATACTGGAAGAAATGCTTCTGCCCTGGATCAGAAGGGATGCAACGATCCCCCTTTTGTGGTGCTGCTACACAAACTATTAAACATATTATGCAAGATTTTCCATAGCGTGCATTCCCTGGTTCCCTAGAAAATCTGCACGAAGCAACCCCAGAGGCAATTGGATAGCTGAATTGGACATCCAGTTATGAGGCTTCTGCCATACCCCCATAGAAGTTTTATTTATAATTATGTGGATTGTGTGTATATGTTTATTTCTGTTCTGTCATGTTCTCATCATTTGCTAAATAATAATAATAATAATAATAATAATTTCTAATTGGGGAAAATTCTTTTCACAGATTCTCCAGGCATGCTAGCTGGCATTATTAGTTCTGTTGTAGTGGCAATAGCTGGAGCGCTTTCAAGTTTCATAGCATATCAGAAGAAGAAGCTTTGCTTCAAACAAAGCGGTAAGTTACAGACAACTTGACTTGAAACCCCAAAAAGTTGGGATTGTAAGATCTCCTAAAATAATTGCTTTAACTACATTGACATTGAATGTTTCCCAAAGTAACAGAAAGCTCACAAGTTTTATAAATAATAAATAAAAATAAATAAAAATTTGAAATAAACTGTGGATGTAGAATGTTACTCTGTTCAAGGCTAAGCTGACGATACAAAAATGTAAGGTATTTTAATTGAGCTTGTTTCTACAGATCAAGAAAACATTCCTGTGGAAAGCCAGCAAGGAGCACATGCAGCACCAGCTGGTAAGATAAAGAGCTTTTAAAAATTACATATACATCTTTCTTCACCTGCAAAAGTGTGATTTTGTGCAGCTTCCCACGTAGGTAATTTTATCAAGCCACACCTATAGTGCCCCATTTAAGAAAAAAACATGGTTTTCTTAAGCCTAGTGCCTTCATTTTCTTTTATTGCTAATTTTTGTATTGTAGATTAGATACAGTTAGTTCAATTAAGAGAACCAACTGGATCATTGAAATAGGCCCTTGGAAATAGGTGGGATTTGCATGGAACTATTTTAAGCTCATTTGAATTTGATGGTAAATACTAAGCATTGCTCAGACTAGATTTAACCAGACATAATTACTGCATATAAAACAAAGCTCATGCTATTAGAATTAGGTTCCATTTTGCTCCTTCCACAGAAGACTGTGGGAATCTTTTCTTCATTTGTTTGTCACCCTGCAAAGTTTCAAACAATCTTCAAGTCATAGAGAATCCAGGTTTATATATATGCATACTTGACTTGCCCTTTATCATTTTATCTTTACTTACAGCTTTTCTCTAACACATTAAAAACTTTTCCTAATGTTTTTTTCAATGTTTAATCAGAATCTTGAAATCTAAGAATCCTGATATACATCAGAAATTGGGAAATATAAGTCATTTTAGGATTTTTTTTTAAATGAAGAAAATTTCAAAAGTAAAAAGAATAATTGCCATAAAGAAATAATGGAACTGGGTTGATAAAAAAGCCCAACTGGTTACATTTAATCTAAAGAAAATAGAGGCAAAGCTGCCCTATCTGTCTTGACTTTTTGTTTATTTTTAACTTTAAAATAAGGAAAGCACCAGTCACTATCCTCTTCATTTACAATTACGCCTCAAACTCACAAAGAGTATTTAAAGGAAACTGAGTGACAGATTTTGGCAATATTTTACAACCCACCTGATTGAAGAAAAAAAATGAAGAAAGTAGACAACCTTAGACAAGCAGTATGCTCTTTCTTTAAATACTTAAAATATTAAATACTTTCTTAAGATAATTTGTTTAAATCTGGTAAGAATCAAATGCATTTAGTGATGTTTACTTCCAAGTGTGTTCAGGATTACAACATTAACTGGAAAAATTAATACTTGTAATTATACATATAATTATAAGTTGGCTAAGACTGAAATGAGTCAGAAGTTTGACAGCAGCTTTCTCTTAGTGGGTCAAGAGTAATGACTGAACCACCAGAGAATTTGCTATGTTAATTGGCCAAGTTATAGTGTATCTTAAGTTCACCTATTTCAAAAGGCAAATATGAAAATAAAAAAAGCTCTACATATATCTTTGTGACTTCCTTAAGTGGGATAAAATGTAACAGTTGAAAAATTGTATTGGACTACAAGTAGTAAAATATGATTTCATAATTCTCCATCTGTAATTTTTAAGCATTTCAACCCCAATTAATAGCTTGTTTATTTGTTATTTAAGCCCATACTAATAGCTTAGATGTTTGTTATTTAAGTGTTTTTATAAATAAAAAGGGGGAATCTCTACCTGTAAGGATGGAAAAGATGTTAGCCTGCTTGGAAGATTTAAAGTATTATATTTAGCTATAACTTTCAGTTGTGGCCTATATGTTTTTCATTTTCTGTCTGTTTAGGTTGTACATAGTAGTAGAGAATATAACCTTTTTCGTTATTTTCCCCTTTTAGTTCAGCGTACACTTTTGCAGAAACAATAGCAGAATTTGATATGAAGAGAAGACCAGAAACTGGATTTATAGCCTGCATAATTCCCTGAAGGAGCAACACAATGGAATTGCGAAGTAGATCTTTAAAATAGGCCTGTTGAAACATCTTTAGAAAGGAAGTGTGATGTTTCTAACCAATGAAAAATATTTTCATCCACCATTTACCCTTTGAAGTTCAATTGTACACAGGGTGATTATTGTTTTTCAAATGTATTTTTATGGTGTTTGTTGTTGATTGGATTAAAGTTTTTTTCTCTTCTTTTTTTTTTGTAGCAAGAACCTTGAAAAGGGAGATGTGTATAGTTGTAAAATACCTTCAGGCAGATTGTTCACTAAGGAAAGCTATGTTGATAGTAAATATCTCCGAGACGTACAGTTTGGCTTTACATACTAATGCATAGCACACCATATGGATAAGGCCAGCTATTTAGATATTGAGGGTGAAGCACAGTTGAAATTACATGTTATAAATATGTAAGAATCGATATAGGGCTAAGTCCCCTTGTCCCTGAATTTCCATTCATAAACATTAACATTTTTCCTTCTGCATGTTCTTGATCACATTTAGAAAATTTGACATGGAGCAAATGCCTTATCTGACTAGCAAACCTTTTGAAATTTTATCATTATATACAAATACATAGGAATTGAAGGCATTAAAAATCTAAGTTGCCTTAATGTTTTGGCTCAGAAATAATTTTAAAATAATCCTTATCTTGAACATGTTTGCATCTTAAGGTTTATTACTTGTGTGTAGTGAGGCTGTATTTCTCAACTGCATGATGCTGGAAACAAATGGGATTTTAAAGAACATGCACTGTGGTCCTTCAGGCTTTACAATACTTTATTGAAATGAAATCCAAAACACTTTATAACCATAAGATAAATCTCTCATCTTTACATCAAGTTTGCTTAGGGTTAGTGTGGGAAATGTTTGCTATGCCTCCTAATTCCTACTGCCAACATCTGCCATTGGTAGGCCTTAATTAAATGTGGGAACATAGCTAAGATATATAGTGGCTTGGGTTCTTAGGCCAATTATGACCAAATATGATAGGGATATGGATCCTGGATTTCAATCACAGGTTACGTGAAACAATCATATTGGGACACAGCCACATCCCTTCCCTCACTGTCAAATCAACAAGGGAGCCTCTTTATATTAACATTTTCGTTAAGGTTTTGGAGTGGTAGTAGGAAGAACTCAAGGTCTAACCTTGCTTAGTCAAGCTTGCTTAGGGTTAGCATTCTGTCTAGGAAATTCGGGAAATTGAACTCTAAACATCTTAAAGATGCCAAACTTGAAAAACATTGGTTCAAATAAACTCTTTCCAATTCTGTGATTTTTTTAAAAGTGATAAAATTGCATGATAATAATTTAGAGCTACCACAAAATTTTGGTGATATTATTTTGAGGAAGTTATTTTGGGGAATCATCCGTAGCTGGATGCTACTCGCCATTTTAAAGTAACTTATCAGAGCTGTTTATTACTACTTTCAGGGAGGGGAATAAAAGGTGAGGTCTGGAGCAGGCACATTCCTTGCTAAACTATAAACTTAAATAAGCATGTGAATTAGTCCAAAATTGGCTCTTCTTTTGCTCTTTATTCCATAATAAAGTAACTTTTCAGTAATGGATTTGCTGCTTAAAATTACTTAAAACTGCATGTGCCTCTGATTACAAATTTACCTTGCAGTTCATAAGTGCCCTACTAGTTCTGTGCTTTACATTTCATAAAGACTTATTTGTGCAATATTTTTCAAAGAACGCACAATAAACTTCAATTGCAGATGCCTTATGTACAATACCTTGAAGTGCCAACATATTAATTGAGTAGAAATATGAGCTGAGTATTTTATATTGTTTCATTAAAAGGAGATTTGGAAATGGTCACAATAATATCCTATTATTAAATTTGTGATTTAAAAAATGAAACTGTCAAGAAATGTGGGTGCCATATTATTTAAGGGGAACTCATGTAATTTCAAGTTAAGTATCATGCCTAAGTAAATTATGTAAATCTTTGCATAATGTGATATGTACATACATAGACTTCTAGACATGAATATTGGGCCAACTTTCAATTTAAATTAGATACAAGTTAGCTGTATAAGCAATGCATGGATGTTTAAGTTGCCCTTTGCATTTTAATAAACGAAATATCAGTTTTGGGTCATGTGAATGTAGCATACGTTCAGCACCAAATCTTAATAAATTCAGCAAGAACCTGCATTTTGAAGAAAAATGTGTGCATGAATTTGATTGCAATTAGCTTTTGATAAGTGGCAATATTTTGCTATAATCCTTATTTTGTGAACCAGGACTCATGCAAAAAATGATTGCTATTAATAAAGATATTTCCATGTTATTACTGAACAGAAAGACTTTAGTTCAAACCATAAATGAAATACTTGTGGCAAACTTGTGGCATCATTTATTGAATAAGCTGTCTTCATCTATTTGTTCTTCCTCATCCACCAGCAGTCTAGGTAAAGGAGACAACTAATGGTTTGTTTTCAGTTTATCATTTGTTTCCCTTGTCCTTATCTGCAGCTAATGAGAGAGTATCCCCATGATTTATCATAAACAAAACCCTGGGGACAATTGTTTGGCTAGTTGGAATTGAAAGCACACTGCAGAGTTTAAATAATCAAATCCAGACACCTGTCTACTACTGAGGAAGAGAAGAACCAGCAGATGCAATAGCAATAGATACATTAGCAATGAGTTGTCATGTTATTCCAGTATGTTCAGACTTTGCTATAAAAATAATGAGAATATGTTTGGAATAAGCACTTAATAGTGTATCCTATACATTTTAATTTTTAAAAATTGGAATAAAGTGTCACATAGTACTGTATAATATTCCATGTAAATGTGTATAAGAATGTGCAGACGGGGCTACACTTCTGCATGTATTTGGATGTAAATACCATTGAACTAGATGGTATTGTTATTTGGAAAGATTGCATATGATTAGACCATTCATATCTAAAGCAAATCATTGCCATGGGTTGATGATACGATTCATGCATGACGTAAAATATATCTATGGTTCAGTATGTTTAATTTTTAAGTAGATTTATGGCTCTTTAGATTATGAGAATCTCTAAATATTTGGTAATTAAAACTTGTCATTTGTTTTTAATAAAGAAATCTAAAATTATTTGTCTGGTTATTTTGAGAGAATTACCTTGTGGGATAGAATTTTCTATTTTTAGAAGAGGTCTAGAAAGGTCTAAATCAAGTAGAAGTGTTTATGAAATAGGAACATCCATTTGTTGACCAGATAGGTACCTGGATTCATTTTGATGAAAAGATCAATGGCACATAATAGAATATCCAGCATAAACATATTCCAAGAGAAACACAGGCTAATTCAAGTCAAATATATTTGTACAGCTACATTAGCACAATATGTTCTAGGAATGCCATAGTGAACAACTTTTTGATGTTTTGTTTACAGTAGCAATTCCATTGAGAAATTAGAAAATGGTGCTACTTCTCAGATGCATTTACATTTAGAGGATTGTGAAAGCTAAGTGATCCAAGACAAAGCAAGATAGTTGTTTTTCATTCGATCATCAGTTCAAGGATATTCTCTTATGGAAGATAAATCAATTCCATTCGAGAAAGTAATGTTTGCAGCAAAATGTAATGATGTATGAAAAAAATCTAATTATATGATGATGCTTCAAATTTTGGGCTCCCAGAGAAGGTATACAAAAATATAGGCAACCATTAGATAGATGGCAGCAAAGGATTGGACCTTCCTGTATCTCTGCTGCTATTTAGTTGTCTTGAGTTTCTGCAATTCAGGTGTAGTAACCTGACTAAATTCTGCAGTTTCTAAATCATGGAAACTTGGTTCATGTTTGTGCTCTAAATACAAGTAGTCCTTGACATATGGCTACAATTGAACCCAAAATATCTGTTGCTTAGCAAGATGGTTGTTAAGTGAGCATTGCCCCATTTTATGATTTTGCCACAGTTTTTAAGTGAACAGTTTTTAAATGACTCTTCCCCATTGACTTTGCTTTCAGAAGGCCACAAAAGATATCACTTAACCCTGGGACACTGCAAAGATCATAAATACATGCTATACTTGCAAGCATCCAAATTTTTATTATGTGACCATGGGAATATTGTAATGGCCATAAATGTGAAAATGGTCGCAAGACTCTTCGGTGGCCATAATTTTGAATGGTCATTAAACAAATAGAATATAATTTTTTATTGGCCAAGTGTGATTGGACACGCAAGGAATATTTCTTGGTGCATATGCTCTCAGTGTACATAAAAGAAAAGATACATTTGTCAAGAATCATAAGGTACAGCACTTAATAATAGTCATAGGGTGCAAATAAGCAAATCAAATTATATTAGAAAAAATGGCTGTAAATCAAAGATTACTTGTATGCCGTATAAGTATAAATCAGTAAAATACTGGCCATTGTGCAGATTACATTTGTCTATTTAACTCTGGGCTACATGCCTATATGAAGCACTAACTAGGCCTGGAGCCTTACAACTGCTACATTATTCAGCAGCTACATAATTCAGCAGCTCTAAACTTCTAGATCAGTGGTTCTCAACCTTCCCAATGCCGCGACCCTTTAATACAGTTCCTCATGTTGTGGTGACCCCCAACCATAAAATTGGTGTCTCGGTTCCTAAGACCATCGCAAATACGTGTTTTCCGATGGACTTAGGGGACTCCTGTGAAAGATTCGACCCCCAAAGGGGTGCCGACCCACAGGTTGAGAACCCCTGTTCTAGATCAACTTTCTTTTTTTTTCAATATATTTATTATTTTTACATTTAAAACAATGCAGTACCGCAAAATCAGAGTGACTATACATTCCCATTATATACAGCTAGTCACAACTATTAACAATTAGCCTGCTAAATACATTATCATTCCTTCTGTCCAATCACAGTATATACAGTTTGATCCAGTCTTGTCACCTTGTCTTATACCAGTCATAAAATCTATTCCAGACTTCAAAATATTCTGATTCCCCTTTATTTTTAAGTTCAAGAGTGAGCCTATCTGCTTCCGCACAGGCCAACACTTTTCTGATTATATCTAGCTCTGATGGTGTATTTTCTTTTTTCCAATATTGTGCATAAGTTATCACGCCACAGTTAGTACATGAATAATTAAATAAAGTGTATCTTTCTTATACCCCTCTGGTATTATACCTAGGAGAAAAATTTCTGGTTTAAACAAGATTTGGTCTCCCACCATTTGTTCTAACCATGATTGAATCGTTTTCCAATAATTTTTTGCCTCATTGCATGTCCATCACATATAATAAAAAGTGCCTGGTGTTTTTTTACACTTCCAACAATTTGGATCCAGATTTTTAAACATTTTGGAGAGCCGTGCTGGAGGGAGATGCCATCTATGGAACAGCTTATAAAGGTTTTCTTTATACGCTGTAGCGACTTAGGGGACCCCTGTGAAAGGTTCGACCCCCAAAGGGATCCCAACACAGGTTGAGAACCCCTGTTCTAGATCAACTTTCTGTGGTCTGCTCTACAGATTTTTGAGTCTGCAGCTGACTGGAAATGTGAGACATACAGTATGGGAAAGATCTGGCTTCTTGAAAGTCAGCATGTTTCCTTTGCCTCTTTTGGCACTGATCAAACAACTTCACCTAGTGACGTCCAAGTATTTTACAATATTTAAGGACAGAAAATAGATTTAATACTTGATTTAATGAATAAAGGAAGTATTTTTCTACGTATGAAACATCTCCGATAAAAACAACAGTTCCTAATTTCAAGGAATTTGATAGAAATAGTCTATACAACATTATTCTCTTCAGGATGAGTGCAAGGTATGTGTATGTTTTTTATACCATACCAAGTTTGTCTTTATTGAGTCTTAGAAAACAATTTGACAAAGGTTGGGAATTTCCTTTGAAAAGAGATGAGTAAGGAAAATTTTTGATCCAGCCTCTTCCAGCTGCCAGCAGTTTGATTCCTCCCACTTTCTCAATGTAAATGCCTCTTACTACGTATTAATTAAGGGATGATTCTTGCAACATCTATGTGTGGGTGTTGCACTAAACAGCTGCCAAATGTTAAGAGAGTTTGTGACTGGATTGTGTTTTGTTCCCACCTTCCCTTTTAATTGGACATCTAAGGCATCTACAAGATTTGATGGCATTTGTGGTTGGACAGATACATACTTGACTAAGATTTTTTTTTTTTGTTCTAATACCTTTACTTCAAATTATAAAAATAAAAACCAAGACAGAAGATCATGGTGAAGCTGCCAGTTGTTTTTTTGTGCATTGGATATGTTCTGTTAACTCTTGCAGGTAAGTTATTGGATTTTTTGGTTTTAGTGATGGATACTATCTGTAATATTGGTATAATTTCAGTGTTTTTCTAAAGCAAAGTATTTTAGACTCAAATAATAACACCAACTTATGTATTTCAAGTTTGGTAAGAAACTGACTTACACCAAGTTGTATGTTAATTAATTTAACTCAATAGCATCAATATGACCAATGGCATGTGTTGACCACTGACCAATACTTGAGCGAGACTATTATCAGAGATCATATGCCTTCCATATCTGACTTCAGATGTACAATTATATGTAGGTGAAGCTTTGAATGAAAATCACTAAAATAAATTGGGAATTTTTTTAAAAAGTGGTCTGCCGTTTGTTCCTGTGTTCACACTATTACAGAACAATTTCTAATCTTCTAGTTTCAAGCAAGGTATTTAGAAAAATAGGAGCTAGACAACTGCAAGCATGATTGGATGCTACTTATTTTTAAAACAGCTTTCAGCTATATTTTATATTTTTAGGATAAAAATCATCTTGGTTGCATAGATAGTGCTGTTCTAAGAGAAAAAACTTTCAATACTTTTGATGCCCACTATCACCTTTTTTAAAGCTATGAATAGAACTTGCTCTGATATTTTCCTCTGTAGAAATAAAATCTCTAACTAGTTGGGATCATTTTATTTCCTTCTTGTACAAGTATACTTATATTCAGTATAAGAGTTCATGATGTTTTAACATGGCATGTCAGAACATCTGTTAAATTATGAAATTATGAATATGTTTGAAATGAATTAAGAAATCATCGTTGGAAACATTTAGTACAGACAATATTCATTTAGTTTTATTTCATTGTAAGACTATCTACTGAAATATTGAAGATGATACTGTATTTTACAATACAAACAATCCCATCATGATAAATTCATTACTTAAAATTATCAAGTTGATTCCTGAATTATAACAATACATTCATATATAATTTACAAAATGAGCTTAGTTTTTATTAGAACTTTGGAATATAGTCCAAATTAATAGACATAAACAAAAGTGCCAAAACAAATGTACCTTTCCAGATATTATAGAACTTTAAGTTCCCACAAACTTACCTCAAGTAGATGATCATAAGAGTTTTATTCAAATAATAACTAAGAACTGTAATATGTAGTATCTTCTCCATTCAGCAAAGGTATAGCTTTTCCATTTACAATGATAGAAAAAGAAATAATCCAAGGCTGTGTTCTCTTGATTACAATTTGTAGTTATTTTGTCAGACACAAATAACCAGGAACAAGAGTTGAATTCAAACAGTAAAAATTTATTATATGCTACCTATATGTAAGAATCTCATCCATTAATGTTCAAGATAAATTAGCATTAAATTGGCAGAATTCACAAGGGGCTCCCACAGGCCTCTAACGGGAGCACAAAGATGCCAAACTGATGACATGTCAGCCTGCTCATCTACAATTTTGTTAATAGAAGATATGACAAATTTAGTAAATTATTAAAATCTCCAGATATTAGGAAAAATCTCTGAATAAATGTTTCTCTGTGACTTCTGAATTTAAAAAGTATTAACCTTTGTATAAATTTGCTGGTTGTGACCATAATAAATATTGATTGATTGTATAAATTTGATTTCAGCATACGGCTTTGATTGGCAATATCCATCAGGTGTTTTTGATCAAATGTCTTTAACTACACAATCTGAAATATATTTAATCACTAAGTTTAAATTACTAAAGCGAAAGCCCTTTTTTTTCTAAGCTGAAGGAAAAAAATATTACTGGAAAAGTATTGCAACTGGTTCTCTTTGCATTGGATAAGAATGAGGAATGGGAATGTTAAAGAAGTGAATGTTAAAGAAGTGAATGTTAAAGAAGTTAATGTGAATTTGGTAAAAAGCAATCTGCACTGTGCAGCCAAGTGAATCTAGATTCTTATTTCTAAAAGTTTCAGCCTTTAAGCATAACACTTATTAAGTCAGGTATGTGGACTTTCTTGTTCCAAAGTAATTGCATTGGGAGTTGCCTCTTTATGTAACTACAATTATGAATTCACATGCAGAGACAGCTCTATATACAAACAGTGTGCTTTATCAGATGCATTCTTTGTGATAATTATTAATATAAAACATAATAAATGGTGTATGTTTGTTAGGGAACTTCCATTTCCTTCCTTTTCTGCATATGAGCCATATTTCAAAAATACTATTCATATTTGCTATATTGCTTCTATTTATCACCCTCAGTCCTTGATTCAATCTTGATTAATAAAGATAATGCTAAAAGCATTCTTATTATTAGTTCTTACAATAATACATTAACCTGACTTTTAAAATGTCAATTATATTGTCACAAACTCACATTAATTCATTTCTAAAGCTTCTATGCCACATTGATATGTCTATGCCCCCTCCCTGTCTCATTTGTTGGATACAGATCAGAAAAAGGCATGACTCAGACAGTATAAAGTCAGTGTTATTAATAAATATTGTATAAGTATAGATGGTCATATTTCATTTGTGCCGAAGATTGCTCTAATAATTTCTAAATCTACATAGAAATTTTATTCGCTTTCTCTCCAGAGGTGGGATTTACTTACCTTCCCTACCTGTTCGCAAATGTGAGCACATGGGCCTCGTCTGCACATGCATAATGCACAGTGTTCATGCATTATGTTGGGATGGGGGGCAGGGGGAGGGACAGAGCCTCCCACAGTTGCCGTTACCAGATCACCAGAACCAGAGAGAATCAGGTGAATACCACCTCTGTTTCCCTCCCAATTTACACCACAGTGACCATATATTCCTTCCACATTTCCATAATCCATTTCAGTTTTGGTACTTGACTGCTTGATTGTCACTTTAACCCATTTTAAACCTGCAGTTTCTTTTAACTAGACCAGTTTTTCACAGTGTCAGTGTTTTATAACAACTTTTTTTTTCATACTTACCATCAACTTTTTCTTCTTCCTCATTTTTTCCAGAGCCCATTATCCATTATTTATGTATTTTTATCTCTTCATGCTACAATTCTAGCCCATTATTGCTTTCTAATAGGGAAGAACTGCACTGTTATTGGTGGTGTCCTATGCAGCAACTTTCTCCACAGTTAATTATGAAGAGTCAGTGACATTCGTTGTTCACTTAACACTTTTTTCAAGGATTCAATTCCAGATTATTGTACTGCCCAATCTTCTCTCAGCCCAGTAACCAATGCTCTTTGTCTCTGAGTTGGGTACAATAATCATTTTTGCCCATCCCATTTCTTATGAGCCTTATTCATGCCAACTTGTGAGTGCTGTCCCCTTGGTGTTGAGTAAGAAGTCTAAATAGACCAATATATCATTCAACTAGCAAATAAATAAATAAATAAATAAATAAATAAATAAATAAATAAATAAATAAATAAATAAATAAATAAACAAACAAATCTCCAAACAGTATTTCCTTGATCCGTTCTGATCCTTTTCTTGCATTTGCTTTTGCAATAAGAAAACAATTTATAAAATAAGGACAGTGGAGGTGGGGAAAGGCAGAGTGATAGTGTTGGGCAAATGACAAAGAGGTTCTTCAGACTGACTGGAAAAGAGGATATAGTGGAAAACACAATGATGTCCTGACTTTAATTTGGGGCAGAGGAACTTGGTAGAGGGTTCTGAGAAGAAGAGTAAACATTGAACCAATAAGACACCATTCATCTCACAATGTCAGAAGTTTGCACTTTTCTTTAATGCAGCAGCCGAGCCAAAGTTTAATCAACTGGCAAACATGTTCATACAGTAGAACATTGGGGTCACACTTGACATGGTGGCTACATAGGAATAGGCCAGTCTCTGATACAGTCTTGCTACATGTTCATAATACAACTGAAATCATTGTGCTGACAGATAGTTAGCCCTTGGAAAAAGACTATCTAGAATTTTAATGGGATTAAGGGATTCTTACAGAATCTTGAAGGCCTGCAAAAACCTCTCCTGACTTCAATTTATATTGTATTCAAGCCGATTGAGAAATATTTCTTTGGAGTTTCTTTCTTACACAAATCAGATATCTTTTCTCCCTCACAGCTCTACAAACTCCTAACCTCAATCACACTGTCATTACAGAATGCCACACTGGGTCCATCAATCATGCACATGACTTGTCACAAAAAAATAAGGTGTAATTCTTTTTGGAAAAAATATAGTGGATATTTTCTCACCAGAATCCATAATTAGAAAGTTTATTTTTTTGCTCAGTAAAAATTGAATTTGCAGTGAATTTCAGCTGCTTATTTCAGATGTCTCCAATGTATTCTACATGATGTATCTGTGCAATATTCATATAACTGAGTTGTTGGGTATTGAAAGCTCATAGAACTTGTTGTTGTGAATTTATCTGCCATTGATCAAAATCTTTTGGACATGAGATTTTAAGACTGGTGATGGGCAAAAAAGGAAAAAGCGTCCATTAGAAACTATATTCAGGAACTGAGTAAACAACAAAACATTTGCATTATTCCTAACATCAAGGATGTCACGATCAATCTAACTATGAGATATTACCATATACATTATGGCAATATTTTTATAGGCCACCCTATGGAAACATGGACTCCGCTCATTAATGAACATTTCAGTAATCGCTGCTGGTAGCATAAAGTATCTTCAAACAACTGTAGCAATATATACTATTAGAATATGTAGATGTAATGACCGTATGGAACATATCAAGAGTTTTATGCTAACATATGGAATATGAAATATAAACAAGTTGATTAGGCCAAGAAAAAAGGGACTCAGATGTTTTTAAACTCTTTAATGTTTGTGTTTCTTTTGAAAGATGATGGCGATTTTGACTTAAAAGATGCTCTTGACCCAAGTAAGTATATTAAGAAATAAAAACATGTTACTGAACAAAGCAAATGTTTTTACTAAACTGAATTCTCTTTCAGTTTATGTTGAAGGTAGACAATATTATTCTCATGGCCACCAGTAGACACTTCTTTTTAAGCCCACTAGACTTCCCGAATTGATTTTTAAATTATTTTTTTTATTTTTAAAAAATGAATAGGATGTGACATGTTGCAAATTTAAGCCTCGGTGTTTAACATCTTAATTATTTTCAGTACTGCTTCATCACATGGGATCCTATAACGATTCTTAGGAAATTAAAATGATGGATGACTACAACTAGAGTCTTTGTTTAAACAATGTATTCCCGCAAAATTAGATATGGCAAAAGCTATATATCATTGATATGTCACAAAATTTTAAACATGTAGTCCTGGACATCTAGTAATGCAGCCCTACAAGATTGTTTAATAACAGTATTATGTTACTTTAGCAATATTTATATACATAAACTCTACTATATATTTTATGTGTGGCCCAAGACAATTCTTCTTCACTCAGTGTAGTCTATGCAAGCCAAAAGGTTGGACACCTGTGATCTAGTCAGGGTGTCAAACTTATGGCCCACGGGCCAGATGTATCACGTGCTGGCCACATCCATGGCTGGTTTAGTGAAGGGGAAGAAGTCTCAATACATTACATGACAACTCCGTGACGATGCGAGTTTGACACCCCTGATCTAGCCCAATGTGTTTCAAATTTGACAACTTTAAGATATGTGGACTTCAACTCCTAGAAGCCAGCTGTGGAATTCTGAGAGTTGAAATCCATATATCTTAAAATTGCCAAGTTTAAAAAATTGTGATCTAGCCTAAACCTCTGCTAAAGTTCTGCTTTTTCTTAGTAGGTTACCACCCAAATATAGCCAGGTATAAACTATGTCTCATCCTTTTTAACTTTTCAAGATCAGCCAATGTAAGCTATACACATTTGCTTCCAAAGAATATAAATACATACCTCTTTATAAAAATATTTACTCCGAGCCGAGGTGGCGCAGTGGTTAAATGCAGCACTGCAGGCTACTTCAGCTGACTGCAGTTCAGCAATTCGGCTGTTCAAATCCCACTAGGTTCAAGGTTGACTCAGCCTTCCATCCTTCTGAGGTGGGTAAAATGAGGACCTGGATTGTTGTTGGGGGCAATATGCTGACTCTGTAAACCGCTTAGAGAGGGCTGAAAGCCCTATGAAGCGGTATATAAGTCTAACTATTGCTATTGCTATTGCTATTGCTATTGCTACTCATATTCATATGTATCTTATTTGAGAGTGATATTTAATATATCATGTTTAATAACATTCTTTACAAAGCAATGCTACATAGAGTACATTAATTTAGAAACAGTTATTAAATACAGAAAATATACTTCCAGGGAATCTTAGAGATAAAATATTTGTGAAATTGAATATATCTTGAAGCTAAATTCCCTTTGATTGAACATGGAGATAGTCAGTATTTGTTTCTTGTCATTTTTTAAAAATTAAAAGTTCTAAAAACTGCATCTCTTTGAAAGAAACTTTTTGCACAGGCAATCATATAAAAATCATCTCAACCCCACAGAGTAAGTTTGGGAATAAGCAACCTTTTCTTTGCATTAAAAAAAAGTTACTTAAGAGAGCCAAAGAGGACAAGAGTGTGTTTTCTGGCTTGATTTTCAGCAATTTTTAAGAATACCATTGATAAGTTTGTAAAGAATATTGGAAACTTAAAATACCTTTTATTTTTGTGCCTCCTGAAAATAACAAATATGAATTCTATGTATTAATAGCTACTAGTAGACATGTGTTCTTGGTAACTTAGTGGGCCTTAAAAGTGAAGAGGAGTTCAGTTGCCCAGCTTGGGCTAATTCTAAAGGTTTATTTCCAGTAAAGAGAAGATAGGATTGTGTTGTCAACATCACAATGAGTTTTAGAATTGACAACTAGTTTTTTTATGTAAGCCTCCTTTTTGATAATCTTAATAATACAGTAATGTTCATTTACTTTGCTTAGATGATAAGCCTTCTGAACCAACAAAAAAGCCACCAGGGGGTAAGCATTAAATTGCAGCTGATCAAATAAATACCGCAATGTTAAAGCTTTCTCTGTGTCAAACTACAACTGAACTTTCCCAGTGGTAAAATTCATTTTTTTTTACTATCGGTTCTTTGGGCGAGACTTGGTGGGCATGGCAGGGGAAGGATACTGCAAAATCTCCATTCCCACCCCACTCTGGGGCCAGCCAGAGGTGGTAATTGCTGCTGGTTTAGACATTGTAACCCTTTCTGGAGTGGTTTGCTGGCTTCTCCAGAGTGCAACTCCTGCTTAATTCTTAAAAATGAATGTCATTTCTTCCTGCCCCTTTCCATCAATTGCCCATTCCTAATTGTTATTATAAGGTAAGCAAAGATAAAAAATAATCTTCCAGTATTGCTAACAAGAATAATACTTGGCATTTAATCCAAGGTGTTCTTTGGGGGAAGAATAGATTAAAGACATGTTTATTGTTCCTAAAGAAATAAAATCTATGAAAAGAGATTTACTTTATATCTGGAAATATTTATCCTAGGTAACAAACCTCGACCTAACTTATATCCTGACCTTAGACCGTATTCAGATAATAATGGAAATGGTGGTAAGAATGGGATTTGTGTTATTTATATCCATTCATAATATTTTTCTTTTCACTGGTTTGACTGTGTTTATTGATTTGTAATATGTTGATTTAGGAAATTCCTTTAATGGTGGTGGTGGTGGCAGCATTGGAACTGGTAAGATTTCATTTTGTTGTTAAGTTTTGAAATATCTGTTTTCCCCAAAATAAGACTTCCCCAGATAATAAGCCCAATTGGGCTTTTGAGCGCATGTGCTAAAATAGACCCTCCCCTGAAAATATTGCAACATAGCAGCAGCCATGAGGTGACCATGCTTGCTGCCTCCTGCACCTCAAAAATAATAAGACCTCTCTGAAATAAGGCCAAGTTCTTATTTTGGGGTCAAAAGAAAATGACCCTGTCTTATTTTCAGGGAAACATGGTATTTACTACCTTTCTATCCTTTTCATTTAAATCCATACGTCAATATTATTGGAACATATTGATCAGCACTTCTAATTTAATTTTTAGTATTTTAAAGAAAGTATTGTTCATATTATCTATATTAATTAGATTATAAAGTAGATATATGTCATCGCATAAAGGGAATAGGATGTAAAGTTGAGCTAAACTGCTCCTGAGATTGAATAGCACCCATGTGAAATGTGAATGTCTATGCAAGAAAATCTGAGTGGCAGTTGGCTGCAGGAATTTCCATGACCTGGAAAGACCCGAGTTGTGAAACAAGGCCACAACAATTTCCTTTGGTGCTGCTTCCTTGCAAAGTTATCTTACCTGACTTTCATTTTAGTTCATGCATAGGAATCTGCTTTGCTATTCTGCATGATTGCTTAAGACTCTGCTTTTGATCATTTATATTTTTTGGATATCAATAGTTTCCTCACCAAATGCCATCAAGCAATTTGCAAGGCACTTCAAGATAAATTTTGGTACACCCACTGATGTGATTCTGAAATCTTCAAGAAGGATAAAAGGACAGTCTGAAAGAAAGAGAAAAGAGTACTAAAACAATTAATTTTATTTTTTAGGTGGTTTTAATGACCTAGATCTCAATGATGGAAAACCTTTAGCTCCACACCCAGCAGGTAATGTATAGATTTTTTTTCCAGCTGACTCATGTTGATCTACTTTCTCTGGCAAAGTAATTTAATTGGAAGATTTCTCATTATTATTTTTTAGCCTGCTTTTTAATATATAAACAGATCATAACATATTATCAATAAGGTATCATACTGATGAAATGGAATGCTCAGAAGTGATGCCCAGTGTCATTGAAATTACACACATGCTTTCTTATATTGTCACATGAATGCTGCACTTATGTCCTTGGGTCCCAATCTGTGAAACAGGTTAGCAGGCCTCCATACATTATTTTTCATTCCATCTATTCTCTATTTTGAGAATATGTTTTCTATAATACATTGTTGTTGGTACTTGTAGTACTGGTAGTGTGGGTTTTTAAAAAAATGCTTTTGTTCTTGAAATAACCATGTTATTTACTCTATCTTAGGTGAGAAAGAGCAAACTTCTGGTCAAGATGGAAATATGGGTAAGAGTTTGCTTTTGTGTTATTAATTTTTTTGTCTGTGTGGTCATTAAGAGTCAAAATATGTAAATAGTAAATACTGTATTTTTAAGTATACTTTATTAAGTGCCTTTAAAAGAAAAGGTAACTGGGGATTTCTAGTCTGGAAGTAGCTGAGGACCACTTAGTTGGAATAGTTGGAAAAAAATTAATTTTTGATGGAAAATAGTTGAAATGATCAGATTTGGAGCCAATCCATATTGTTGTTTCTACTCCCCCAGCCTTATCCCAATGTACTTCCTTATTTTTTTTCAAAAATTACTAGGCTTACAAAATTTAGTTCAGTCCTTTCACTAGGCAGATAAATAGAAGCATATTTATTTCATTTTATTTCAGTCTTCAGTTGAAATCCAACTGTTGCTGCAGTAATTTTCCTCTGGTTTCTCATGTACTGATTCCAAAAGAAAAGAAATCAACAGGGAAAAATGGGTTTGAGTTGAAGATAGACAAAGTAATTTCTTGCCATCAAACCTAGTCAAACATTTGGGTTGGAACATTCTTATATTTTTCATTCTGTTCATCCCAAATGACAGCAACATTCTAATTCATTGATAGTTACATGATTTGGGCAATGATGAAGAAATTTCATTATAATACATGTAGTCCTCAACTTACAACCATTCATTTAATGACAGTTCAAAGTTACAACAGCACTTAAAAATGATTTATGACCATTTTTTATATTTATGACCATTGTACATGGTCATATCGTCAGATGATCAAAATTTGGATGCTTGGCAACCGGTGCATATTTATGATGGTTGCAGTGTCCCGAGATCATGTGATCACTTTTAGTGGCCTTTTGATAAGCAAAGTCAATGGGAAATCGAGATCCATTTAGCAAGCATGTTACTAACTTAATAACTGTGGTGATTCACTTAATAGCTGTGGCAAGAATGGTCACACAATGGGGCAAAACGTATTTTAAACAACTGAAATACTCAGCAACAGAAATCTTGGACTCAATTGTAGTCTTACATCCAGGACTACCTCTAGTGGTATTATAACTGTTTTTTCCCCATCTTTAGTTGATTCTGCTACGACAGCTCAGATTACATCTCCTGTTGTTGCTGTAGCTGTGATACTGACTGTTGGCGCCATAGCTGGCTATTCTGCTTATAAGCAGAAAAGATATTGTTTTAAACCAAGAGGTAAGCTTTAAGTGTTATAAAGTCTGTAAATCAATACTGGATGCCACAGCTTAGATAAGACTTGAGAATGTCTTCATTATATATGGGACATACATACTGCATTAGAGACAGGTCTCTTCTCACAACAATTAGGGAAGACTTACAGTATTTCCAATGGGATCAATCAATCATTTCACTTACTTTTATGACGGAACAGATAAAAGAATAAAAGAATAAAAAGCTAGCCTTTTTCTATGAATGTTTTCTAAAAGATAAAATACCAAGATTCTATGCTAATACTATTTTTTTAGTCGTCTTCTGCTACTGAAACAGATAATAAAATTTCATTCAGTAACATTACAATGCCTTATTAAGAAAAATAAAAGCTTCATTTTAAAGATCCATCTGTAAAGAATGTTGTTTTATTCTTTGTGTAAATTATATTTTGAATACTTTTGTCCAGTTATAATTTTTGTCTGTCTGTTTGAGTAGTGTTTTATATGCCTCCTTTAAGAATTGACTAGCATCAGAAATATGCTTCGGATATCATATGAACCATCAGTAAGGACATTTGATTGAATGTATGGCTAAGCTTCTTGAGCATGTATTGGATCACAGTCCTTAAATTACCATGTTCTCTCTCAGGTGCTCTGTTAGACTGAAATCTAAGGCAAACGTATCTTACACTTCTCCATCTTGCACAGGTCTAATCCCTAAAGGCTTTTGAAACAATCCTGTGCATTTACTTTGAAGTCAGATTCACTGTATCAATGCTACTTATTCTCTTGTATGTTTATATTACAGTGCATTTTTATTCGAGAGTGAAGGTGTTTTCTAGAAAAGCTTCTTACAATACACTTAGTCTTTCTCATTCACCAAAAATATGCCAGACTTAATTACCGGTACCTTCCATTTCATTCCATTATTTCTTCCATTTGTTTTCTTACCAAGAAATTATATTTTTGATTGAACTAGCACACTTGAAGCATCCAGGGGTATATGTTGCATATTATTGGTAATATGTTGCATTATTATTTGTGACATAGTACCTTTTCTTTTAACATTAACACACACACTTATATTGTAGGTGGAGCAGTTGCCTAAACTACTCAAAAATGATCTAAGAAATATTGAGTTCCACAAGATCAACAACAAATGAATGAACTGCAAACTGTAATACCTATGATACTGTTGCTAAGGTTTTATATAATTAGGCATTTTGTTTGTGTGTATAAAAATCAAAGAACAAAAATTTCAAAACAAGAAATTGGTTGATGATATACACTGCACCTACATTGTATGAATAGAAAAAATTCACTTTGTGTGGGTTTCCCCCCCAGTTCATACAGGTAAATAACATGTTATGTTCCATTTGTTTAAGATCATTGGATCCAAACGATCAGAATCTCAATCTCACTCTTGGTATACAGTAGAGCCATTGGTTTATAGTTAAGACTCTTTATGTACCTTTTTCAGATCTTCAGGACTACTTAAAAATCTATGGGGGGGCGGGGTTTAGATGCACTGAAATGTGGACAGATGCACACCATGTCTTCTCTCTAGTTTAGCTATATTGCATCAGTGTTCAGGGAAATACTGTACTTTTCTAACTTTATAAATTAAATTTCATTGAAACAAACATGATTGGTTATCTTCCTACATTAGCTACTTGAAACCACCAACAGTCAGAATTATGCACCCAGATTCCTTTTAGCATTTAACCTTATGTAGAAATGGATGCTATATGCTATATTGTTCAAACGCCAAGGGATAGTTCACCTACTTTGGAGTGTGACTAGCTGAAATGTTAATTTGGTGAGACAATACCAGGTGCTGAGAAATAAACATAGATTGCGATCATCTTCATGAAGTTCTGAACAAGGGTTATTATATTAACAGGAGATGGTCAGGAAAGGGAGGTCAGGAATACAATGGAATATGTGTATATTTTTTCCTTTTTATTTAAGGGGATTTTTTCCCCTTCTTTCTTCACTTCTAATATATAATACATTATCATGTATATTGTTTTCCACTGATATATTCCTGTAAAATCACTGTAAAAGTAAAATTTAAATTAAAAGTTAAATTTGACTCCAGATTTACATTTGAAACAGAACTATGTCCTAATGAGGAACATGTTATTACTAAAATGTACAAACCTTTGTTGAAATATGAGCCAGAAATACAAGTGAAATAATGTATGATAAAATGGCTAAACTTTTTGGTTCCAATAAACAATTGGTTCAGTGGGACGATATGTGGTTAGAAGGATTGAAATTTACATTATCATTGTAATCTTGAAGAGAAATTGTATTTATTTATTTATTTTTATTTTTATACACTGCCCATCTCATGTAAATGACTTTAAGTGACCAATGATATATAATTGGTATCTGTCACCTAAGAAATTGTCCAAAATGTATAAAGATATTTTGAATCTTTGTCTGAAATGAGAACATGAAGGAGGCCCTTTAATCACCTACAATGAAGGAATGCTTGGGGAAGATGATGGATAGCTAAATTAACTTCTTTGACTATAGAAAATACAACATCTACTGATTCAAAAAACCCTATTGACTTTTTGCCTGAAACTGAGAAATGTATTTATGACTTTTAGTTTTGATGATAGAAAAAAAAATAGATAATAGACAAAAATGAGCTTTGTATCCATCATCATCACTCTCAAACTGGCAGCTTGTGGGGCCAGATATGTCATGAGCAGGCCATGCTTACCCCAGTTCCACAAAGGCAAAAAAGTCTCAATATGTCCTGATCCAGCATGTGACGAGATCGAGTTTGACACCTGTGTCATAGAGTATAAAATAACTTTGTAAATATACTTGCATTTGCTGCAAAGGAAATTGGAAGCTTAGTTTTTCTGTTTTTTTCCTCTTATTTTGTCTTTTCTTCTTCTATATTAGTTCATGTTAGCTTTTATATTCTCTTTAAATGTTTAATAAAATGTATACATATATAAAAATTGGCTTCAAGTGACTTATATGGACCTATCCATGCCTGGGAAGCAGTTTGCCTTTACCTGTTTTCAGGTAAAGCAGTTTGCCTTTACCTGTTTTCATAATGTTTTACCAACTTCTTAACCCTAGCCTAAACCAGTTGAAAATTGAAGACTACCAGTATTGGCTAATACAATTTATTTGTTATCCTGGTGTAGCGTGCTAAGTATCTGATTAAACTGGAAAGACTATGGGAGGGGAGAGGGCAGAAACTCATTGTAAGGTTTTTTTTCTTTGCTTCATTTACATTGTAATTATACAGTTAAAGTGAATTCATGGAGCGATGGCATTTCAAAGTGGTTGGCACAGCAAGTCCTCAGACTTCTGTCTGGTGGGAGAGAAAATTATCCAGGATGTTTATACCTATCTGTCTTGTAGGAGTAGCTGCACCCCCCCACCATTCAAACCATACTATCCCCTTCACTTACCTCCATGTAAAGCTCCCCTAAGCTGGTTCTTGCTCTGTGGCACTAAGACCTATACAGACATACCTCCCTGTCTGTCCGTAACCCTGATTCACAAATGAGGCTGCCTAGTAAAGCAGAATATTTTGCACTGGTGGTCTCATTAGTGGGACTCATTAGGGTTTGCAGTGTGCAATTTCAGAAATATTAATAGCCTAGTCTTGCACACTGGCTAACCTCAATTTGACTTCACAAACCCTGGATGCACTAAACTAAAAGCTAAGGCAATTTCAGGAAGTAACCCTTGGAAATGGGCAGTCATTAATTCATGGCTCTGAAGAATTTTGAGACGTGTGCTTGTTTCAATCTGACTGAAGGCTCAAAGAAAGTGACACCCAAGATCTAAAAGAATTGGCACAGAATATTGGATACTATAAATTCATTTTCTACTTAACAGAAGTTTCGCCGTGACTGCTAGACCTTCACGGGTTGCTAGTTCTCCTTTGGGGAGAGCTTTTTTGCTGCCTCTATCAATGCCTTCCCCTTTGTATTAACAATCTAAGAACTTGTCTCCCCTCATCCCGGAATTCCCATAAAACCACTTATCAGGTCTCCCTAATAATATGCCAAATGGACAAAAAGTATCAAATCAACCCTTAATCTTGTGCCAATAATAGAATGTGTCACCCACACTCTTTTTTGGCACAAAGTGGTGATTTTTAGGAAGAAAATGTAGCCCCCCAAGCCTCCTTCTGTATACCCCCAAAACCTTAAGGAAAAGAGAAGGCAAGAAAAGAAACGCAAACAAACGCTGCTAAAAGTGAAAGAACACCATCTCACCTTTCCCCCCCCTCTTCTTCTATTCTCCTAATAGAAAGAGAAACAATGTTGCAATCATGAATTTAAGTAACCACATTCATTGAGAAAAGTGGAAACAATACCGATCCATTAAGAAAGGCAGGCTGGAGGCAATAGATAAAATCAATTACACATGCCTGACAGGATTACGAGTGTTAGGTAAGCTCCCCCCCCCCCCCGGTTGGGAGAGCAAATGTGTTCAGAGAAGCATTGTGAGAGTTGTGAGTAGCTGGTTTACACAGTTTCATCCTAAACGTCCTAAGTAGCAGGTTAATCTTTTCAGTTAGTGAGATTTCGTATCCTCCCCTAGTCTTATCTATTTTTAAACCAAGATATTGTCTAATCTCACCGAGATGTTTTATACTGAACTTCGTCCTTAACAGTGTTATAATCCTCATAGCTTCTTGCTCAGTTTTAGTGATTAAAACTATGTCATCAGTGAACAATAGCAACAATGAAACCACACCATCACTTCCTTTCTTAAACAAACATGGATCAGCCGTGCCAGCTTTAAAACCCATCTTAGTTAACTCTTTAACTAAGAGTTAACTAAGATTGATTCCATTCATATCCTGATTGCTTCAAGCCATAAAGACTCTTTTTCAACCTCCAGCAATCAGTTTTACTATCAGTTTTGAATCCTGCAGACTTCTGTAAAT